AATACAAAAGTCATAATGTTATCATTAAAACTTTTAACACATATGACAGTGAGTACACTGTCATTTTTACAAAGTTAAATTCATTGGCTGAGTGTCCACCACTCAAAACCAAAATTAAAGAAAAGCAGAAATCTCACCTTGCAAACTATTATATTATAGACCCCAAACCTACAGAATAACAGAGTGACAAAATCTATTCCTATCCATCTAACAGCAATCAAAAGCATGCAAATCTAGTTGGCTGGACAATTTCAAAGCTTCAGGAAAGACTAGCGGGTCACATAATCAGAAGAGGAGACAGAAAAGAACTCTAACATTATCCTGAGATAAGATGCCTTATTATTTCTTTCACTTGTGGAGAGTTCTGGGTAAAAGGTTCTTAAAATGACAGCACCTTTTCACCATTAAACAAAATACTAGACTAACAATCATTATGTTGTTATTGGGAGTAAGTGGCTCTTAAACAAACGGTAGTTTAAGACACTCCCATCTGCATCTTTTAGATCCATCAAAATATGTGCTCACTGATTCACTTTTAAAGTAACTAGTGCAGTAGGAGCCATACAGAATGATACACACATTTTAAAAAAAATTTTTATTTTGTGTGTGTGTGTGTGTGTGTGTGTGTGTGTGTGTGTGTGTGTTATGCCTGACCTACTTGTAGAATTTGTTTAAAAGCTCAGCTATAAGCCATACTTTGGGATAAACCCAACAGAAAACATCACTCCCTTCTTTTTCCTGACCCCTAGTTGCTAGTCTTTGGGTGTCTTCAGCTGTGAGGTAGAACTCATCTATACATACGTACCTTTTGATAAAAGGCTAATGAGGAAGCCAGTCAGATAAACCCAAACCTTTATAGGCTCTCCTTGTTCTGAAAGACAGAGCAGCTCAGTACACAGTGGAATGTAGGAAAGGACACTAATGCTGCCAGCTTCTGTGGGCTTGGAACTGAGCTAGACTCTTTCCTGGAATTCTCACTGGATGCCTCTTACAGCACCCCAAGACAGGCATCCCCCACTCCCACCTCGCCCATCTCACAGGCGAGGAAACTAAATGCTGGAGAAGCCCGAGAACGCGCCCCAAATCTTACTCCACTAGCTAGAACTCCAAAGCCAGAACTTGAGTCTGGCTCTCTCTGTCTTTGTATCTGTGATCTTCAGCCCCACCAAGTGAAGGGAAGAATTGCTGCTGGGGCGGGAAATGTCATTGCTTTCCCAGCGAGTATACCAGTTGGCGCCTGGGCAAGAAGCACCGCAGGGTCTTTGCTGCATTTCAGAGTTACCAACTGTGTACTATACACACACATGTGTGTACACACAAACATACACATGCATACACACAGTACAGATCTTCCCAAACTGCAAATGTCTTCCAGGCTGTCTGTGGGCTTTTCTTAAAGGTCACCAGAAAGTCCTGAGGGAAAGAAGGGTTTGATCTAAAAAGTTTTATATTTCCTCTCACTTTTTAAACATTGGAAAATCTATTTGGCTGCAAGGAATGAATGGTAAAAAGAGTTCTAACTACCTAGAGCCAATAAAGCATACTGGAAAAGACAGGAATATAGCTGGACTTTATTTTCTTTTCACTCAACACATCCTGTCTTTAATCTGAAAGGTAAATAGGCCATGCCCAGCATACCGACTCTTTTCAGGTGAAATTATCTAGGTTATAAAAACAAGCAACAACTGTGCTTTCATTATGCTCTCATTCATGGCTGACAGAAATAGTGTCCAAAATAAATCAGAGGCAAATGTTGCCCACAAGAGAGCAAACCCATGAATTTCCACCACTTTGATAAATAACTGCAGTTTTTTCTTCTTTCATTTCAATGAAATTATAAGGCATTATTTGAGTTGAGTTCCAGAAGTCATAAAAGAGCTAGGTCTAAAGAATTAAGACCTGCACAGTGGTGCACAGCTTTAATCCCAGCACACTGGAGGCAGAGTCAGGGAGACTGCTACAAGTTCAAGGCCAGCCAGGGCTCCATAGCAAGTCTCTGTCCCCTGAAAAAACAGAAAAGGAAAGCTTGACTTTTCATATTTAGATTATTTGTATGACCATGTAACTAACAAAGACAAGAAAATAACCCCCTCCAAAAAAAAACAAAGAAAAGAAAGATATTATTTTTACTTTGTATACTAATAACAGACTAGCATCTGAGATATTTAGCCTTCAGGGTACAAGAAATAATTATGCAGCATCTCTCTCTGCAATCCTCAAATATCAGCTCCTTAGACTCCACAGTGGACTGAAGGAGCTGTGGCTTAATTCACGGAGAGCTATGTCAATTTCCCCTGCTTTACATTATATTCTTTTCTCCATATTAAAGCTGAGCAGATGGCCCAACAGAAGAAACCACCTCCACAAGCGGAACACCTAAAGGGCAGTTAAAACATGAAGTGAGAGAGACTCATGGCTTATTTGAAGCAAGGCCTGTCATGCTCCTTTCTCTGATGTCACTTAAACCCAGAATTGCCAACGGTAAATGATCTAAAGAGGTAGTCTTCAGAGTGCCAGTTGTAGGCAAATCAACAGGCAATCCATCTTTTAAAAAAGATAAATGCAAATACTTATCAGATGTTAAACAGGGTCTACCTGCTCTCCTCCTAACTACAAGATTTCATAGAGCCCCTACAATGCAAATACACATTACATCCCCCCAAGAGAAGAACAGAGAATACAGTGGAACAATTTTTGCAAGGATCACCTGTTTACTTCACAGAACTGGTGGGCCACGGAATGAAAAAGAACATGAAGCATATCAAAAAAAGTTCCAAATTTCTATTTGGTCCTCAAAATATAGAAAATATTTGATATCTTTCATTCAAACGCATGTTAAAATCTTGGGGCATTAAATACATTTTAATAAGATTTTATTTTTTAATTATGTGGGGATAGAGGTATGTGCATATGAGTGCAGTGCTTGTGGAGGTCAGAAAGGGTATCAGGTCCCCTGGAGCTGAAGTTACAGGTGGTTGTGAGCTGTCTGGCATGGATGCTGGGAACTTAACTTGGGTTAAGAGCAGTACGTACTCTTAACCACCGAGCTATCTCTCCAGCCCCTAGACACAATTTTATATCATGTTATATATAAAAGAGAAATAAATCAACAACAGAAAATGTTAGGCTAGCATTTCAGGAGAATATGATTCTAATTGCATTTTTACAGACAGTAATGTAATCACACACACTCAGCTTACTATTTTGGTAGATCACAGGTAATGGAATGTCAGGAGGCCAGGGAAGGTTAATGCTTACAGGCACAGAAAGTTCCAGAACTAGAGAGGTACCAAAAATATCGAGCCATTTGACATTCTGCTTTTGAGTGTGCTATAACAATGAGGAAGAATCTAGAAGACAAAATAATGTAATTTTATGAACTCCAACTCCCAAATCACTGAAGAGAACTGAGAAGAACCTGCACTGTTTTCAATTAGAAACTAAAGCCTACTGAAACATTAATACGTCAACATTAGAGCCCAGTAAAGATGAAATACAACCTTTGCTTGGACATTCTTCTCTCAGCACTGACACACAAACTTGCATTCTGTACCATGAACTCTAGTAGTGAAAACTGAATGCAATATCCTGCTTTCAAACACTAGTCACCCTCAGAGAAAAACGTCCACCCTGGTTTTCACTAAATGTAGCTTCTGCTCAACATTTTTCAAGGTGTAGGAAAGGTCAGAAACATTAGAAAGACAGAGACATCATCATTCCTGATAGACAGCACTTAGAAACAGAGCAAGACCAAAGAAAACTGTCTGCTCTGGGATAAGTCCTCTTCTTGACTTCCTATTCAGCAGCACACACTGGCAAGAGGGGGGAGAAGGGACAGCATGACTCCTCAGGGACGCCTACTCCTAACCCTCCTGAAAACAAAACATCTTCCCTAGACCCAAACTCCTAACCCCTTTATTGGCCTCTGTTCTGCACCTAAACCCTATTACTCAATCTTATATAACTCACCTGTTTACTAAGCATGGCGTTTATTTTGTAACCTTCTTTGATAGATTATAAACTCCTAAGAGCAAAGATCTTTTCTAAGTTTTGTTTCTTTAATTGATAATTCCTGGAGTCTGAGAACAGTTCCCAGGACACAGCTGCAGCTCAATAGACACGTGTCCAATGAACAAACAGTACCATTTCTCGCCATCTTTCAGTCCTGCAGGAACCCATCAGTCTATCTCTGTCTTTATACATTAACTAGCTAACCTTCAAGGAAGCTAGTAATAACAATCACAGGCCTCAATAACATATGTCACACCAGCAGAGGCAGTTCACGCAAAGATCTATGTTGTTACTGTTGTCTCAATGTAGAAGAATCATTCAGAACCATTCATAGTGGAAGCAGGGGCAGTGACAAAGAAAAACATCTGTATTTCAAGTGCTTTTAGCATATGAGTATATGAAAGAAAATTCATCCAATTGTTACCTGATTTCCCATCATTCAAAATACCTGATGCGCTTCTTAGAGACGGGCATTAACTCAAACATACTGAATGTTTTGTTTTGTTCCTGAACAGAAGGATTCTACTCACTTAATAATTACATTTCAGTGGATGTGGTGGTACACACTATAATCTCAGAACTCCGGAGGCTGGGCAAGAAGATCACAAGTTCAAGGCCAGCTTGGGCTACATAGCAAGTTAAGAGCCAGCACAGGGAGACCTTGTCTCCAAAGCTCAAGGGACAGAGATGTAGGTAAGTGACAGAGGACTCAACTACCATGTTCTGGGCCCTAGGTGCCACATCAAGCCTTGTGAAAAAAAATTAATAAATTACATTTCATTATACATACTATATTCATAGTAAAAATCAGCAAACTTTTTACCATTCATGGCATTATTTGGAAAGTGATCCAAATGTGCGTTTGCTCTCCAAAGTAGGGTGGTAGTGTAGCAAACCTTGGTTTCTCAATAAGCCACAGAAATATATTCTGTACTTTGGTAATTTTTCCCTTTGAACTTTCTCAAAATGGAAATAGAAGGGAAACTTACGGCTGTACAAAAGATGCACTGGCATTCCTGGAGTGTGGTCATCTTGTCCAGGGACTGTTCACACAGGCAGAGTTTGCAAGTGATAAGGGGAACAGGAGACAGGTCTCCTGCTACTGGGTTTTCGGCAGTCATGGTCAGATACTGGAGCCCATCAACTGAGCCCATCAGCCTGTCTTTAGCCTCCTCGATCCCTACAGAGAAAAACAAAGCAGGAAATATTATATCCATGGATATAACTATTGTGAAACACACACATCTGGGGACTGCCTGAACAAATCCTCACCCTTGGTGACTTCTACTAGTATAGCTAATACATTTCTGAGAACTGTATGCTGGAGCACTCCCTGTCTTGGCAAAGTATTCCTAGAGCCCTGAAATTTAAGCTGACCTCACCTCATTGTCCTGATTCATATCACATAAGCTAGCTGAGGGAATTAAAAGATCTCTGTAGGGGGAGGGGAGGAATAAGAAGATGATGGTCAAAGGTACAAGTTCCAGGTAGACAGGATGAATACGTTTTGGACAAGTACTTACTTAGCATGATGACGACAGCTCATAATAATAAATTGTGCGTTTGGCATTTGATGAAAGTAGATTTTAAATGGTTCTTACCATGAAAACATGGGTAGGCAGAGGAGCTGATATTATGTTAACTACCTTGATTTACTCCTTTCATGTATATTCATGCTATATCAAAATATCACATTGTGCATCTTAAATATATATAATTTTTATTTGCCAATTATGCCTTAATAAAGCTGTCAGGCAAGATAGGAAATTACTGCTGTAAACAAACATGCCATTTGAGAGCGTATCACTACAGTCACTGAGATTCAACCGGCTCAAAAAACACCTTTCAAAAGAAGTTCAAGACTAACCAAATGGAACGGGGGCATAGCTCAGTGGTAGAGTGCCTTCCTAGTACGTGTAAGGCCCTGAATTCCTTGGCGTAAGGCCCTGAATTCCTTGGCGCCACTCGAAAGAAATTACCATATCATCCAGCACTTCTACTTCTGGGTGTAGGTGCCCCTAAAAGTGCTGAAATGAAGGTCTCGAAGAGGAACTCCCACATCAGCACTCACGGCAGATCTGGCTGTTCATACTCACGACAGCCAAAAGGGGAAACTAACCCAAGTACGCACCAACAGATGAGTGAGCAGACTGTTCGACAGAAAAGGTTTTGCTTGCCAGAAGTGTGCACTAAAATACCAATCAAAGGTATAGTACAGTAAATGTATAAACCATTAGCATGGTTGCTTACTGTCATTAGCCAGTCACTATGCACTCACTATACAACTGTATATGCCATGTTTTTATATGACCAGTAATACTATAACTCTGCTTACACCAGAGTCACATAAACATATGAGCAATGTGTTAAGTTACAACATTCTGACGGATATAGATGTCATTAGGTGATAGGAATTTTTCAGCTCCATTAAAGTCTTATGGGACCACCACCCAACATGGAAATCTCAGGGTAAGGTGCATGATTTATATACATAGAAAAGGGTGCTAACAAGAGGGAGAGAACAAATTGAATTTGATAGGAAGAAAAAAAGTCAATGAGATCTTTGCTCACCCACCAGAGTCGAGAGTTACTAACTCTAGTCAACTGAACAGTAAGAGATGGCTTGATTTAAAATAAACTAAATCGTTGGTTAGTTTCCAATACGGAAGTCATTCTATTCTTTGGCAAAGGCCCAACAGGGCTCAAGACAGAGTTCTGATCTCACTGCATGGAGAGGAGCTATCATCTAAGAGCAAACTAAATCAAGTTGGTGTGCACATCAAGCTCAGGATTTTGAGATTTAGACTTCCCTTTAGGGTCACGTAGGGGCAAAAATGGCTCATATTACCTCTTCTTCTCCTTCCCAGTTTATTCTTAGACAATGTCACTGGTTTGTCTTTCAAAGACTTCCCAGTTCACAGCTCACACAATCCCACCAATTCCCCTGAACTGTTGTTTTCTCATCTGAATGAGGTCAGTAAATGGGGGAATGGAAACTGTCACAACCCAGAACCACTCCATACCCCAAATGTCAAAAGTGCTTCAGAGTCATCTGGAGTCAGGCATGGTACTGCACATCTGTAATCCCAGCACACAGGATGCAGAGACAGGATGATCTTTAGCTCAAGGTCAGACAGGGCTATGAAATGAGACCATGTCTCAAAAGTACATCTATCCAGGCTACAGCCTGAATAGCTGTGATTGGTCAGTCAACCGTCCATGGCTACCAGTTACACTGAGATTCTAACAACATTTTTACTTTCTGTACAATAACAAGAAAAAGCTTTGTAAATAAAATCTTAACATTAAAAAAAGTACATACATAAGAAATAAGAATTTTAGTATTTTCCTTATTTATATTTTATGTGTATGAGCATACTGCCATGTTACTGTGAATACTCAACCCTGTTCTTTTAATCTGGCTATTTCTCAAAACAGTCAAGTGTTTATTATGATCTTCCTTGGTATCACTTTCTAGATAAAGATTTTATATAGGCAATTTGGGGGGGGGGTCTTTTGAGACAGGGTCTCCCTGTAGCCCCAGCTGGCCTGGAACTTACTATGTAGACCAGGCTGGCCTCAATCTTACAGAGATTTGCCTACCTTTGCCTCCCAGGTGCTTAGATTAAAGGCATGTGCCACCATGCCTGGCTTACATAGAGCAAATTTTATTTATTATTATTATTGTGTATATATTATATGCATATGGGCACATATGTGCCACAGGGCACATGTGGAGATCAGAGGGCAATTTGAGAAGTTGGTTCTCTCCCTCAAGTGGTTGGGTAGATGAATTCTTGAGTTCCAGCGCTGTGGGTTCCAGGGATCCAACTTAGGTCAACAGGCTTGCACAGCAAACACTTTCACCCACTGAGCCACCTCACTGGCCATATGAGATATTTTTTAAGACATTTTATTTTATGTATACATGAATGCCTAGGTGTGTATATGTGTAGCAAATGCATGCAGTGTCAATGGAGACCAGAAGAAGGCATCATATTCCCTGTAACTGGAGTTACATATGTGAGCCATCATATGGGTGCTGGGAACCGAACCTGGGTCCTCTGAAAGAGCAGCAAGTACTCTTAGCTGGTGAGCCATCTCTCCAGACCCATGAGACATATTTTCAATGCACTCTTGAAAACATAGACATAACTGACTACCACAGAGAAGGTATCTCTTAGACATATTTGTGTTTTTAAGGCAGACCTAGAGATTGTGTTAAGCAAGAGCTACTGAAATCTAATCATGCTTTGAGTCATATCTATGTTTTTACTCCTTAGCTTGTGAGTTACATTCCTAGAGGCTATAAAACCAAAGTTATAAAAAATGCAAAATTCAAATACGTATATACACATAAAATATTTTATAACATATTTCATCCCTTTGAGATTTGAACAATCCAAAGTGCTTCTTTAAAAAATAAAAGCGATTTATTTTTCTGTGTATAATTAATGGCAATTCCTTAAAGTGATGGCTATCAAACATGTCTCAAGCAACGGAATTTTATGAAAATAAAAGTCTTTGCCAAACTACCACTGCATAAGAGAGATTACAGAGATTATAGCGCTTGTTCAAGGAGAGATACCCAAGGCTAGTCCATCCTTCCGTTTTCCCTCCATCCCCACCCCCCATCTCCCCAGGCCCTAAGACAGAAGCCTACATCGACCTCAGGCACAGATTAAAAACCAGCCTTTGGTGTCTTTGAGAAAAATCAATAATGAGTGTTTAAAAAACTGAATGACACAGCAGGTACCTCATTAAAAAAAAAAATCAAACAAGAAAGCATTTCACCACCCATTCACTGGAAAGAGGAAAATCCTATGGTGAATCCCCTGACGGAGTTCCCCACACTAGACATGCTGTGAAGGCTGTGGAATTTCCTAGCGTTTCCTGACTTGTGTCTAAAGACTCACCTTCTCTGCCACATGAAGCCAAGGCAGAGCCTCAGCCTCCCCACTATCTAGCAAGTGGCATGAAGCTTGGAGGGAGGACCCACAAGAGGACTGAGGACATCTCCCCAGTTCCTCCTCTCCCTCTCGTCAGCCAGCCTCAGCAGGCACACAGACAATTCACCCCCTGTCCCCTGCAGGCTTCAAGAACAGTCTTCCTTTCTGAGAGATGCCAGCCCTGCTAGTGCTCACTGGCTTGTGGGGCTGCTTCTCCCTCATACCTCATATTTATCTAAAGATAAGAAAGTGACTTGGTTATCCACCCTGCCACTTGCGAGGTAACAATTATAATTGGTTTTACAGTCATTACAGTAACTATGCCTCTTTTTAGGTGCCCGAAACCCCTTGGGAAAGAATCTTGGCAGAGAATACAAGGGCATGTTGGAAAGAAGAGAAATCTGGCAGCTGCCTGCAGGTTTCAACTTTCAAAAGTCGGTGGCAGGCTTCATTCGCTCACATATACCTAGCCGTACAGCAGAACAGACTGGCCAGATCCTGTGAAGAAGGAAAACCCCTTAAACCACCAAGTGACCAGGAAAGGAGAAACAGTAGCTCTACGTGCTCCAAGTGTCTCTCGCTCCACATAGGGTTCATTATATGAGAAGCAAGTCCTACCTGAATGGAAAGGACAGGAGAGTCACTTTTCCCTCGTGTGTTTTCATTGGACTTGCCAAAGAAAGGAATATCTTAGAAGCTGTGCTGGGAGCACAGGGTGTATAAGGAATTTTCATTTCTGAAAAAGCAATAATCTGCTCTAAAAATGCAGAGGGTGAGAGAGCCAACATTCAGAGTATTTTTAACTAATGGAATTCATGCCTGTTTGATGACCCAGAATCCGAACAGTTACCCCTCCACAGAGAGAGAGAGGGAGACAGAGACAGAGACAGAGGGACAGAAACAGAGACACAGAGACAGAGAGACAGATAGAAACAGAGACACAGAGACAGAGACAGAATAATTTAATTGGAAAGAATATCATTTTATTAGGATACCAATCTATTTATTTGGGAATTTCTATATCATCTTGCAAAAAAAAAAAAAAAAAAAACCCACCTGATCATTTAGATAAATGGACAAAGCATTGTTACAGTGACTAAGAGAAAAAGGGCTCCAGCAAAATAAATCCACTGGTATTACTGATGTGCCAGAATGAAAGTAAAAATCCAATTCATCTGTGCTGAGGTCTTAATTCGAGACTATGTCAGAGCCACCCAGGGACAAGGGACAA